TGGGGTTGTCCTGCTCTTCTTTTTCTAGAAGCTTGAGGTTCAGCATCAGGTGGTTTAATTGGGCATGCTCTGTTTTCCTAATATGAGTATTCACTGCTATGAATTTCCCTCATAAGACTCCTTTCATTGTGTCCCATAGATTCTGGTATGTTGTATTGGCATTGTCATTTAGTTGTAGGAACTGTCTGATTTCTTCTTTAATTTTGTCTGTGATCCATTGGTTATTCAGAAGTGTGTTGTTCAATTTCCATGTGTTTATGAAAGTTTTGTGGTTTCTTTTGCTATTGGTCTCTAATTTCATTGGCACTATGGTCTGATCATATACAGGGGATAACTTAAATTCCTTTGCACTTACCTAAATATGTTCTATGAGCAAGTATGTTGTCTATTTTGGAGAATGACCCATGTGCAGCTGAAAAGAATGTGTATTCTGATTTTGTGGGATGGATCACTCTGTAAATATCTGTTAAGTTCATTTTTTCAAGAATTTCATTGAGTTCTACCATGTCATTGCTTGTTCTTCATCTGGTTGATATATCTATTTGTGACAATGGGATATTGAGGTCCCCCACTACTATTGTATTAATGCTTATATGATTTTTCATGTCTGTTAGTATTATTTTTATAGTTGGGCACATTAGTGTTTGGTGCATACATATTCATGATTGTCACCTATTCCTCTTGGATTTTTCCCTTTATAAGGATATAATGTCCTTCTTTGTCTCTCTTCATCAGTGTGGGTTTGAAATCCACTTGATCTCCAAAGAGGATAGCTATTCCTGCTTTTTTCCAGGTTCCTGTCACATGGAGTATTGTTTTCCACCCTTTAACTTTCAGTCTATGAGTTTCTTTTTGAATTAAGTGTTTTTCTTGTATGCAGCATATTGTTTGGATATTGCTTGTTGACCCATTCTGCCAGTCTATTTCTTTTGACTGGTGAGTTGAGACCATTAACATTGATGGTTATAACTGATACGTATTGAGTTATCATTGTCGTGACTTTTTTTTGTTGGATTCTCCCCTCTTTGCTTTTAATTTGTTGTTGTGCCTGGTGGATTCATTCTGCTGGGCTTCCTGGGGTTGTAATCCTCATTGTCTTTTTCTAGGATTTTTGTCTAAAATTTTTTGGAGTGCTGGTTTGCTATTCATGAAATTCCTGAGGTCTTCTTTGTCATGAAAGTATCTTATTTCACTATCAATTTTGAAAGATAGTTTTGCAGGGTATATCAATCTGGTTGCAGGCTGTTTTCCTTTAGGGCTTGAAATACATCACTTCTACCTCTTCTTGCCTTGAGGGTTTGCATTGAGAAGTCTGCTGTGATTCTGATGGGCTTTCCTTTGTATGTGATTTGTTTCTTTTCTTTAACTGCTTGTAGAACTTTGTTCTTTTGTTGGGTTTCTGGAATCTTAACAATTATATGCCTATGTGTAGAATTTTTTTGATCAAAGCTAATTGGAATCCTAAGTACCTCACTTATCTGTATGTCAAGTTCTTTTCCCTTCCTTGGGAAGTTTTCTGCCATCACTTCTGTGAACAGATTTTTATGCCATCTGAATTCTCTCCTGTTTCTTCATTGACTCCAATCAGTCTTATGTTATTCTTCTTTGCATCCTGTAGCAGCTACTGGATTGATTTCTTGTGGCCCCTTACAATTTTAAAGACATTTTTCTTTTCCCAGTCACTAATTGCAATCTTATCTTCTATATCTGAAATTCTGTCTTCACATTGGCTCATTCTGCTGCATAGACTTTCAATGGAGTTTTTAATCTCCTGGAAATCTGTTTGCATCTGTTTTATGGATTCCATTTGTTTCCTATGTTGGGATTCCATGATGTTCCCCAGCTCCTCTCTAGATTTATTAATCATGTCTTGCACTAGGGGCACAATCTCTGCTGTTATGTGAGAAATTATTTCTGATATCATTTTTTCCATATCCTCTTTTGTTGCTAGTTCAGTGAGTCCAGGTTGTTGAGTATCAGAATGTTCCATCTCATTTCCTTTTGGGGTTGTTGTAGGTGATTTGGAAGTCTGGTTCTGAGACTTGTTTATGTGTCTTCTCATTTCATCACAGAGGGGTGGGTGTTGCTGCTGGTGCCCGAGCAGCTCACCTCCTCTGCGCTGGGAGTGGTGGTAGCCTGGATTGGAAGCCTCCTACTCTGCACTGGGAGCTGTGGGACGTTGACCCAGAAGACTCCTCTGCCCTGGGACCTGTGGCATGCTGACCCTGAATCCTCCTTTGTGTTGGAAGCTGCGGCATGCTGATCTGGAAGCCCCCTCTGCAGTCTCCTTTTTCCTTTCAACACTCAACTTCAATGTCCTTGCCACTGAAAAGTTTTTCTAATTCCCAGGGAGATAAAGTTCCTTTCCATCTAAATGATTATGTTTACAATATTTTCTAACTCTAATATTTTAAGCTTTACAATATTATAAAGTTTTCTCCTTTACTTAACATCTATCTGTTCCTTCTACTAAACCAATGTCACAAAGCTCCTGGAGTCCAATGCTACTTCTAAACCCCATGTCAAGTTGCCATGTGATACCTACCTGATATCATTTAATGACAATGGAGACTTGCTTCATGGACAGATTGTTTCGTTTAGATTTGAAAATATCTCAAAGAGGTCTCCTGGGTTTTATATTAAAAGGCTGGGTTTTTAAAAAAAAAAATACTTGATTGGGTCATAGTCGTGTGTTCCTAGAATCTTTTTAAATTTTTCAGAAAGTATTTTTTTAAAGTAATGATTACTAGATACAAAGGAAATGAGTGACTTGTGTGCTTTCTATTCTAGTGATATAACTCACGGTTTATATCTCTCCTTGTTTAAAGTAAACCGACGGGTAAGTCTGTTTATTTTTGAAACAACCTTTGAAGACTTTCTCCTGAACAGCTGACAGCCCTCCATGTGGCTTCATCAAACACAGCTCTGAAGGCTGAGTGATTAGCTTGGAAGATGCAATTAGGGGCTCACACGAAGGGATATGTTCCATGTCAGGTGCGAATGCTCTTTATTAGTTCTGCTCCAACCCAGAATGGAGGATAAATGACTGAGAACGGGGGAGATCCATCAGGATATTTTTGAATCCAGCCTCCAGGGGCTGCCTGGCCCCCCTGCCTTCTTCCTGGCTAACAGTGCTTTCTGCAGATTACCTGGACTCACACACTTCAATATTAAGAGATATTCCTGGTACTTGCTGAATGATATTCACACAGTTCTATCCTCATCTGAATAGGTGGTGGAGCTGCTGGACAGAGCAGAGCAGCAGCCCAGATATTTGTGGCTATGAAGGTCGAAATGACAGGAAAGCCTGGCAACCATGGCTGTGAGGTGCACTATAGAAGGAAGTAGGATGCTTCGATCTAACCTGGAGACAGAGGTGCCAAGAGCACTTAGTGATTCTCAGGCTATGGAGTCATTAACTGTTGACAAGGAGGAAATTCTTGTAGCTGAGGAAATGCAGCCTCATCTACCTCCCTCACCACATTCTGAGAGAAGGTCAAGGGTTATTTATTGCTTTACCCTTGGCCTCCACTCTGAATGTAAACCGGCTGCTGCCTTTGGTTGTAACCCGAAGTCAGACACTCTTGGCTGTTGGGGCCAGGAGGAATTCTGTAGTTCCATGATTCCTGAGGGAGGAATTCCTGAGGTGTCCTAGGCTAAACACGAAGAGCCCTGACAGAATAAAATTCAGTTTTCTTGCTGGGATCTCCCAGAAAAGATTTATTGGAGAGGGCAGGGTCTGAATGAGATATCGGTGACTGAAGTCTAGAGGCTCTCAAACTTCAGGGCATCGGAATCACTGGAGAGATGATTAAACCAGACTGCTGTGCCCCGCACCTACAATGGCTGATTCTATAGATTTGGTAGTAGCAGGACAATCTGCATTTCTAACAAGTTGCCAGGGAACACTGATGCTGCTGTCCTTGGGACTACATTTTGAGAACCACAAAACTAGCCTGATCCTGTAACTTTCCAAAGGACAGCCTTGAAGAGGCTGGGGACTCAGGGTCATGCAACTAGTATGTGATCGTCTCAGCCTAGGACCCTTGGGCTGTTGCTCAGCCTCTGCACCTTTTAGAGGAGAGAGGTCTGAGACTGCATACACACTGTTATCGATAGGTCCTGGCATGCACCCACTGTATCCTAAACACCAAAATGGAATTTCTGTTCAGATTGAGGGTTTTGCCTTCCTATTGCCACAAATTCAGATATAAGGGAAAATGTAGCTATCTAATCCATTTTATGTCTCGTGTTTCAGGTTTCTGAACATCATGTAGACTTGATCCAAAAACACTTGAAATGCCTATGATAGAAATATGTGGCAAGAGCACCAGCGCATAAGAGTACCTATGGGTTAGCTGGTCTCCTGCACGGGTGTGCTGGCTGCAAGTATGGGACAGACTCTCAGGTCTGAATTCTTAGAGACCTGTCTTACAATGGATTAGGTGAAGTAAGGACCACCATTATCACTTAATCTGGCATGATTTTCTATCCATCACAACAAACCTGAGAGGTAGGCCATATTATTCCCATTTTCCAGATGAGGAAACAAGGGTGGAGTAAGAAACTTGGTCAATACATGTGCCTGGTGGACATGGAACTCAGAGCCAGACCCGCCAGTGATCAGATGCAGAACTTTTCTTCACCCTTCTGCTTCCCTGGCCAAGGGCGTGGAGAGTAACTGTGGACCTTCCATCTCTGAAGGTCACCCCCTGAGACAGCCCAATGAGGCATTGTATGGAGGGTCCAACTTATGCTGTCTACTCGAGGTCTTGTGTTCTGTTATTCTTGATCTGTCCCTGGATGTGAGGCCAGCCTGAGGACACGAGGGATTTCCTCTCTGGACAGGCTGGGAAGGCCACCTTTGCAGAATCACTAAGCAGGATCTAACTCCCCTTCCTCCACCTGCTATTTCCAACTGTTCTGTCCCTTGAGGCCTCTGGTCCCGGTAGCTCCAGACCTAGAAACCTTGGCGAGGCAGACACCTCTTAGGTACTTACCTCAGTGTGGCCAGGATAGAAAGCTGTTCCCTTGGCAATGCTGTTATTGGGCCCAGACACTGAGCTGAGCTTGGGTCCAGCATGCCATCCAGCCCCCTGCACTGCACGACCACAGGCCAGAACTCTGTAGAGAAGGAGAGCTGATGTTAGATGATGGGCCCTGCACCATAGTCTCCAGCAGAGGGATGGATACCTGTGCCCTGGCAGGGGGAGGGATGTGCTAAAAGCACAAGTCCTATTTTCTGAGTTCCAGGAATTTACCAGCAACAGGCTCTAGGAAGAGCTAGAATCCAGCTACCAAGACTGCTTTTACATCATGGCTGGTTTTATACTTGGTGCAGGTGCTCCTAGACCCACACTAAAGTCCTGCTTCAGCAGACCCCTAAAGTTGCATCCAAGTAGAAATTATTCCACATATAACATATGCAGAGATGTGTAGACCCAACACTGAACCAGCCTAAGATAAATTACATAAATACCACATGGTTTCTCCTATATAAACCCAAACTATAAATAAAGAGTGAAATAAAAGATAGATGATAGGAAACAGAGAGACAGATATTTTTCAAAAGGGAAGGGGGCCGAGAGATGGAGGGAGGGTGGATGGGGGAGGGAAAGGGATGAGACAAAGAATGAAGATGTGTTGTGTCTATGTACCAGCTCCCCATGAGGAATGTAATCATCATGTACTGCAAACATTACCAATAAAAAATAAAAATTAAAAAAGAAGATGAAATCCTGACCATTCAGAGCAGTTGGTGGTTTGATAAAAATGCATGAAAACCTCATCAGCTGGTACATAACCCACAGCTCTTACTGAATGAGGATATGACTCTCAGAGCATGGTGCTGAAAGTCGTATTTCAGGGATTGGTAGATAATACGGTGAGAAAAAATTCCACTTGATTTTAGTTGTTTCTAGAAGCAATAGATGCACTCTCCTCTTTCACTTCTGTAAACTAATAGATGTAGATGCCTCTTTCATTTATTCAACAATATTTTCTGAGCATCTACTATGTGCCAGGCACTGTTTTAGGTGCTGGAGACACAGCAAGGAATAAGACAGACAAGGTCTCTAGTGTCATGGATCTTACACCCTTGCATGTATAAATATCTTCAGATTCCGTTTATGCCAGGAAGGAAATAAACAGAGTCTGATGAGAGAGGAAGGTATATCAAGGGACCACTGTATGAAGGTTGCTTGGTGAAGAGTTCTCTGAGGAAGTAGTTTTCAAGTTGAGATCTGAAGGACGAAGGGAAATGAGGGAGCGAGAATTCCATGTGGAAAGAACAGCAAGTGCAAAGGTCCTGAGGTAGAGATAAGTTAAAGTGACTAAGCATGAATGGCAGAGACCTACAAAATGAGCTGGAAAGGCCTAAAAGCCAGGTCCACAGGGACGTAGCCAGGACTTAAGGTTGGATCCTGTGGGGACAGGAATGGAGTGAGGGCTGTAAGAAGGAGAGTGACATGTTTTATGACTAAACCAGTGAACTCTTATGTCTATCCCAGAATTTGTTGTAGAGAAAATTTAGAATGGCATCTTCAGCCTTCCTGTCTGCATTGTCTTTCCCACTCCAGAATCCCTTCCTTTCATCAGGCCCTGTTCCAGTGTGGACCCCCGCCATTTTCCCTTCAATCTCCTCTCATCTCGAGCTGTGGAAGCAAAGGTTGAAGAGGCCATCACAGCTCCTCAGATCCCCAACCACGAAGAGGAGCTGGAGCACAGGGAGATAGGAAGGCCCTGGAGTGGACTCATGCTGCTAGGAATCATCAAGTGAACGACTGGGATGTTTTCATTCCTCTTCCTTTCCAAATCTCCTCAAAAATAACCTTTTTGCCTCAGAAGTTAATAGAAAAAAAATCAATACTCATATGAAAGTTAGGTCTAGAGGTAAAACATTCAAATACCCTTTAAAATCTCTAGGTTCTGTGGGAGTAGCACTTTCACACTCTCACAGGGATGTCGGTATTTCCCCTCGGCTAAGATACTGTGGGCACTATCTGGCCCCATTACTCATGGGCAGGGGGACCTCACTGCTCCTCAAACTCTTCATCTCGGGGTTTGGCTGGGCCTCACAGGTGGAAGGGCAAAGAAGCCACAGAGCTGTCCTGATCCAATTCCCTCTGATTCTCGAGTCAGTTGCTTAGCATTGTTAGGCACCTCTGAGATTCCTCTTCCTCAGGCCCAGCGGCTGGCACAGACGATATTTAAGGTTTTCTCTGATTCAGGGTGTCTGAGATTTTTATGACAGTAATGCTTCCCAATTTGCATCCTTACTGGATTAATAAGTGATGCTTTCTCCATTCTAACATTTATTTCATTAATTAACCACTTACATTTGCAGGCCTTGTATAAGCCATTGTGCCAGGTGCTAGGAACTTAAAGAAGAATCAGATATAATGCTTCCTATACCAGATAATCTAGAACTGAGGAAATGCAAGCACAAGACTAAGAATTTAAAGTACACCTTGATAAATATGATGTATATTTCATATTCTATGGAAACAGAGGAGACAAAAATTAGTTTTATCTGTCCAGACTAGTAAGAGACATATGTCCATAGGGAAGTAACAGCTGAACAAAGCTCTTAGGAAAAAATAGTTCATCAGGGAAGAAGGGAGAGAAAGTCACTACAGAACTTCTGAGCTCAAAAGCAGGCTAGAAGTATAACACAGGCTTTACAGAGGGGTGTGGAACAGGGTGAAAGGAGAGTGTGGTGGATCTTATACATTAGTAGGTGCTAGTGAACATTGCTGCTCTCACTGCTCTGGCCTGCTTTCTGTAAGACACAAAAAGCTTTCACTTTTAATCTGTGGAACAACCAAAGAAGTAACAGTAACTGCCTATAAATATGCTGGATGTTCCACTAAGACCAGCATACCTTCCAGTTAAGATCATTAGAATAAATGATTTCTGTCTAAGTATAAAATTCTACAACTCAGGCAGACCTGCCTTCTTGGGGTGATGATTGTTGTTATCTACAATCAGTCCCTGCATCTGCAACCTCCGTGATCTTTGCATCTGGCCTTCTGTCTGTAACTTCTGCTCGAGCCACCCCGGTGTAGGTTAGTGCTTCTGCTAATCTCACTGAGGTGCCTGGTTGCTTTATTTGAGCCCCTGTCCAGCATCTCCCATATCTTTGATCTTCTCTTACTCAGTATGGGTATGGTTTGCTACTGGAGAGAGAAATGCCCTGCCCAGAATGCTGAAGCATTAAATGATTTCATGGATCATGTTGTTATTGTGTTCGGTCTCATGCTAGTGAAGGTTGGAGCTCTAAAATTAAATCCAATTTAAATATTACCAATTCCTAATGCAAATATATCAGGGACAAACAACCCAAATGAATATCTATTTTTAAAGCCTCGTCTGTTCTCATGGAATAATCACTTAAGAAAAAATCAGATGGCTCTCATGATTTTGATAAATGTATGGAAATAAATCCCAGCTCACCTCAAGATTATCTTCTGACCCTTCTCTATAGGACACACACAAACACACACACACACCTAAATATTAATATCTGGTGTACCTCTCCTAGACCTGGCCTGTCCTAGGTCTCATGCTTTATCAGTAGTCCTCAAAGTGTGCTCCACAGTGGAACTCGAGCATCTTTGGCACTTGTTAGAAATGCATATTCTTGTGATCCACCTCAGATATCCTGGGTCAAAAATTCTGGGAGTGAAACAAGACAACTTGTGGTTTAATAAGCCCGGTGAGTGACCATGATGTAGACTTAAGTTTCAGAACCATTGCTTTAGGGTTCCATGGTGGCCCCCATCCAACTGCATCCTCCCCAGGGGTGAGGAACCCAAGGAAGAGAGCACTGGCCTTGAGTCAGTCTGTGGCTGGGTTCTGCCCACCCAACTGTTCCTCCTGTGGGACAGTCAAAGGCTCTTCCTCCTTCTAGACCCCCGGAGGCAAGTCTGTTTGTATGACTTTCTGTGGACTATTGCTTCAGCTTGCCCTTCCTTTTCTTTATGTCTTAATGATATTTTGGTCAATTTCAGCCAGGAAATTTTAATTAATGGTAAATTGTTAAAAGTCTCATCAGTATACAGATGAAGAAGTTGGAAGAAATTGTCTTGGCCTCTGCAGGCAGTTTACTATGGCATTAGCTGCATCTATTTAAACCTGCTAACTCTGCTAATAAATATCTCCCAAGTCCTCTATGCTTGAATTTTGTGGAGGATTTTATCTACTTCCCTGGCTCCCAATTTATGTGCCCCATGATCTTCTACAGCACTGGCTCTTAGCCCTGGCCACCTTCTGGGCGCTTTGGGGGATCTTTCATACTCTGCTGCCTGTGTCCCATTTCCAGAGAGCCTGATTTTGTTGGTTTGGAGTGCTGCCTGGGCATCAGGATTTTGTATAGCTCTCTCAGTGACCCCGGTGTAAAGACAAGCCTGAGAGCCACTGATGTGCAGGGTCAACAGGAAGCTTAGCATTGGCTCTGGAGAGCTGCTAATTAAGAGAAATTGTCAAGAAATTAGTGTCTTTCAGAAAAATATCAAGTGTAGATACGGTCCCATTTTGAACAATCAAAAAGGTATGAGAATATGACTTCTATATGCTAGGGAATGTTGTCCCTGTTGCTGCCCCCAGACTGTCTAGCTATAAGTTGACATTGTGGATTGGAAGGTTTTCTTTAAATGTTCTTTGGTGTTGGCCTAGTATCTGGTTGGCTAAGTATTAACAAGCCTAAGGACTCTTTGCTGATCCTTTGAATACTAAAGACTTGGGAATGCTTGACCCAAAAGACTTCTTGACCTATTCATCCCATGTTGTTCTGTGAAGCAATGGCTGCACCCAAGAGTAGCTCATACTGCATCAAAGATGTCAGGGCAGCTGCTACCTCCTTCCTCCTACTTCCCACCTGGTAGACTTCAGTTGGGAAAACTTACTAGAAATGTAAGACATTAGGAATATGTTGATACAGGTATAGTAATTTTTGGTGTTATTGCAGTGATTTTCATTGCTGTAACAGTTCTCCTTAATTCTCTCCTTTGTCCGTTAGTTCTTGCTTTGAGCAAGATAAAGGGAAAAAATTTGAAGTCTTTTGTGTTGCAAGTCTGTTTTCCTAATTTTTATCGTAATCAAAAGTTTTCTATGATGGAATATGACCATGAGGTTTGCTGACTAGGAGCTCTCTTATTTTTGGAAAAAAAATCAGTTTTGGCCACTTTGGGATAATTTGATGTGTTTTAACTATTTAGTGGTTTTGGCATATCTGATAGGAAAATAGTGCATCTGGTACCAAGGACTTAGGAAGGCATTAAGGTTCAGCAAAACTGCTCTCCTTTTTGACTGAACTTGGCTATCTATGCTGACAATTCTAAAGTGCCTTGTCACATTCCTTAAAGAGAAATGGTGCTAGAGCTGTATGGGAGGTATGGAGTAAATTACAAAACTTTTCTCACCATTTCCCCAGAGAGACAGGCAGCTAAGGAAGAAGCCACTGTGGCTGGCTGACCTTGAGCTTCAGAATGAAAGCATTTGCTCTGAATGTGAGTGTGGCCGGCCACAATCTGCGTGGTGTTTACCTGAATGGAGCAATTCATGATTTTTATAATAGCCAACACTGAGGAGAGGCTTTCAAAGTGTGGGTAATTACAAGGACATTAATGTAGAAAATAAGACTCAAACACAAAGCAACCTTCCATAACAGAGTTGAGGGCAGAATATTTTTGCAAGAATGTGCTGCTAAATAACAGTTCTTCTAGTATAACCAATCAGCATAGTAATACGAATGATATATCTATAATCTACACTTCAGTGCCAAAAACAATCCAAGTTTTTCAAACTTTTCTGCGACCTTAACAACACATCTCCTTGGTTCCAACTGGCTGATCTTTAAACCACAAGAAAAAGATCTGTTTCAGCTATGCGTTTGCTCTTTCCCTGGTTTGTTGTTCTCATGCTTGAAGATCAGAGCAGCCAGCAGGACTGGGAGCAAAGGGGACTCTCAGGTTAGTTGGAGTGAAAGTTTGCGTTTGACAGTAACAGCACCTCCTGAGGTTTCCACGGCACACCTGGGATGGCCACCTGGACTGAAGACTTGAATGAAAACAAAACGGTGCCAGTGAATGTTAACTTAGATTCAAGCCTTTTATTCCATTTGCTTTATAGGATTAAATGTCCTCAGCTCTTCTTGAGCCAGCCTTTTCCTCTTAGTGTGTGGTATGTTTTCCAAGCAATAGGTCAAGAAATGTTACAACACATAAGTCTATAATGCAATTGAGATGTAACTTCAAAAATTAAGACGAGTGAAAGATCCATAGCTCTTAAAAAAGATCAGAAAAAAAAGCCTGGCTTACAGACACACGGGGTCCTAGGGCTTTTAAAACAGCCACCCGTCCTTCTACTAAGGAGTGTAGGGGATGAGCCAAGGGACCCAAATAAAGGATTTCCAGTAAAATGCCACCCTTACTCGTTAAAGTGTCCATGAGATGAGGCCATTCTGTTTGAGCAGCTGGACTTCAGTTTCACTGCAAAAATTGCTGCAGCTCAATCACCCTGCATCCAAGAAAACAGGATCACAAGTAGCCAGCACCAGACACATCACAGGGGACACACTGGACACCTGGAAATTCAGCTGTCACTCAATTGTCATCTCCCTCACCCGTCTGTGCTGACATTTCCTGGCTTGTCTTCTGGCTTCACACCCAGAAAATCTGACTCAAGGCATGGAAGAGATAACTCAGCCTGTCTTTGCCCAGGCATGCAGCACTTACAAATCCCAGGTAACCAACAGCTAAGATAAGAGCTGGAGATGAAGAGTTTATTTCCATGTGTGTTCATCAGGGGGCTTTGTGTTATTTTGGCAACTTCCTGTGTATAGCTTTAACCATCCTGGTCCCAAATGGGGAATGTTGGTGGTTAACTGTAATGAAGGGCTCTGGGGCAGGCATTCTTGAGCTCAAGTTCAGGAACTTCACCTCCTTCTTTCATTATCTTAGGAGGAAAGGTCAGGAGAGACTAAAATCTGCTGTCCCCTCTAAAGTCATTTGATTCTCATATAATTATGTTTCAGAATATTCCCGATCTTCTCAGGATCTTTCTCCTTTAGGGTTTATATGACCATGACAACATGAACAACAGAAAAACTTCACTGGGGAAATTCACTCCCGAGCTAACAAGAGACCCACAGAGTGCATCTGTCTCCAGAGATCCAGAACACTGTGGGTAATTAGAAATTCCAGAGAGGAGGGCAGTTTTCCACTCTCAGTCATATCACACACACACAAACACACACACACACACACACACACACACACAGAAACTAGCCACTCGTCCTCTTGCTTCTAAAGAGGAACAGTTGAAATGATTAAGATTCAGAGAAATAGAAACAAATTTATGTTAGAATCTTTATAATTCTATTGTTCTACCATCATCACATACTGTTAGAGCTCTAAAGAGCCAGTAGTAGTAGCTCTTCAGTCCAGCTGATCTTGACAGATGCATATTAGCCCTATCACTTACCAACTGTGTGACTTAAACCTTTCTGCAACCTCGGTGTCTCCTTTCAAAAATCAGAACAATTACACCTTGCACATTGGGCAATTAAGCGGATTAAATTGTGTAAGCATTTAGCCCAATGCCCAGCAAGGAGATGGCACTATATCAATATTACCAGTAACTATTCTCATTGATTTTATTAAAGCTATTTGGCTAAAATCAGGTAGGGAGTTACTGGCACAGCTGGGTGCAGAAGACAAAACACTGTTTCATGTCCACCCCATGCCCCTATATGGCCCTCTCAAGCAGGAAGGAGCCAGCAAAGTGTCCCAGTTTGTGACCCGAATGGCTGGTCCTGCACATGCTCAGTGGGACCAAGCAGCTGCAGCACACGTTCTGCAGCTGTGGGGTGATTATCTGCAATCATTTGCCAACAAAGATGCTGAGTAACAAACTGAAACAGTTGCTTTTAAAATGATCCATTTCAGTCAGAGGGAGGAAGCTGCTCCAGCTCCAGTTACAGCCATGGCTTGCTGAGGGCAGTGATCTCTAGCTCCAGCTAAATTTGCCAGGCACTGTAAATTTATAGCAACTTTGCTTGGGGTAGTTGCTGTTTCAGAGGGAAAGTGAGTCACAAGGAGAATGAATACAACATGGAGGACATTCCTCATGGTCAAACGTATGCTCAGTCATCCAAGGGCTTAGGATAAATTTAGGCTCCTGCTGGATTATTAACTTCTTGAGGTTTTAGGTGTATTTTTATCCGTGGGGCTGTCCTAGAGTGGGCATTTAATGAATGTTTACTGAGCAGAATTGAAAACTCTTCACACAGCTGTGCCAGTTTATTCAACCAAAGTAAATCATTATTTCATGTAATATTGGGAAATAATAAGTGGTCCCAATCCACAGGTCTAGATAATGGAAAGAGGTTCTCTTCACTGGTGGTGTGAGGTTTATTTAAGCAGGAAAAAGCCACAGTGGTAGAATGACAGGTGTGCTGCTGAGGAGCCAAGATACAGACCCTCCTTCAGCCTTCATTACAAGTGCTAAAAAGCACACACAGGTGTTGTGCATAAGAAACCCCTCCTTAATTCCAGGGTGCTTATTTTTCTTGTCCTGAATTCCCTTGCAGGAGGCTATGCTCCAGCCCAGCCTCTGGGTATGTTGTGCAATCCACTGGGATGGCAATCACCTCATTGTTTAGTTACAAGCCATGAGAAGATGAAAAAATAAAGAAAAGAGTGGAGCATACACATACAGAATGAGGGTGGAGACTGCACGATGATAATGAAAACCATTTGTTAGCACTGCGCTCCTTTCTTTGTGAATCAGCTGAGTCCCTGGCTCCAGGGCTCCATCTGAGAAGGGAGCTGCACCTCAAAGGCCTTCCAGGGACTCGTTCTGCCATGCCCGGTTGAAAGAGTGTCACCCTTTGTCCCCAGGAAGACGGGGATTTGACTGACTGCCCCAGCTCCCTCTGAGCCCCAGCCACTAGTCTCGGCTCCAGCTCTCATGTTTGGTCCCAGAGCCACTCACCCATTTTTCGGACTGTGTGCTGGCCTCAGTTATATTTAAGCTCTACCTAAATCCAAGTTTGGTTTAGTTTGTGTAAGAAGGGTTCTCCCCTTGCTGTCTTCTAGCATTGTGTCCACCCACTTGTGTCCAGGACTCTCAGCCCATGCTTTCTTTTGAACTGTTGCTACTTTTCCTTCTTTCCACAGATCTGTCTTCTATATTCTCAAAATACAGATTCCAACTTTTTGAGGATAAAAAGCAAAAATAAATAAAAATTTAAAAATAGAACAAACAAAATCTCAAGCAAACCCCCAAACTTCACAACTTTTAGAACAGTATATATACTTAGGCAGATATACACTGTACTATTGGTTGTAGTTTGTTTTGCCTACATTGTCTCTAAAGTAAAATAAGTTCCAAAAGGCAGGTGGAGAGGTTACTGGCCGAGAAGTGCACCAAACATTTCCTGTGCACCTGAACTCATCAAGCCCTGGGATCTAAGTGTTTCCCCTCTCTCTGCTCACTTCTCAACTCAGTTACAGCATTTATAGAAGTCAAGCCTCTGATTCAGAGCCATAGAGCATAGGAGCACCATCTCTAACACCCACCAACACTGCTACCACAATGGCCCCACTGCCACCAACTTTGTAGCCATCCCTACGGCCATTATCATCTTAGCACCACCACCACCACCATCTCGTGACACTTCCTTACCACCAAATTCAGTCTCTGCCTATGTTCACCACCAGCATTGCCATTTCCACCATTTTACCCTCACTATTACCCACCTCCACCATCAGTACCACTACCACCGCCATTATGATCATTACCACAAGGAACATCACCATCATCACCATCAACATGTCTGAAAAATTAAAGAACTGATTGGAGGGAGCAGCAGTGTTTGCCCTGTGGATTTTGTATTGAGAATCTGGCCAATGTTTCTCAAGGCCTTGAGAGTCAATCCTTTAGGTCATGTAGTCTCTTCCAGTATAGTTCAACACATTCTTTAGGTCCATATGAGTTTCAGCTGAGTAGTGAGTAGAGCTTGGTCTTGAAATCAATTTGCACGATTTCCTATATATTCCATTATATTATTTTCAGCACCTGCTGAAAATTTCAGATGCTGCTTTTTCCATTCTTTCTGCTAAGATACTTATTTTGCCCACACTGTATTTCAAATAATGTTGATGACAACACTTCTCAGTTTAAACCTTGATAAATTTTAGAATTATCACAGAAGAGTAATAGCTATAATGGTCACAAGGACTGTCATAATAATAATATACACATATTTCAAAAAGAAAAGAAGGAATTATGTACCTTGGTCCTCCAAAGTGAGTCAGGTTCTTCTATTTGACTGATGCAATCTACTAAGGATAAGTGCACATTTTTGCAGGCTATTTTGAATTTTTCCATTTCTTTATATCTGAAGACAAGTAGCCTTGGTGCTTAATCCTCTGCAGAAAGGGAAAGCACTCCCTGATCCCTCTGCTCAGCTTCTAGCATCTCTGTTTCCATGGGAGTGATTGGGTCCCACTTGTAAGAGGGAAGTTCTCTGAGAGTTTAAGGCTGGGCACAGAGTCTAGCTCTGTTCTGGCACGTCCATCCCAGAGAGAGAAGAAGCCAGCCGGCTATTCCAGGAGGAGGCCTGGCCAGCTCGCTCCTTCTTGCCACTCACTCAGACTGAGTAGAGTTCTTTCCATCTGGGTCACTAGGGTGAGTATGCCACAACTGAGAGTTTGAGTTTGGCTTTGCAGGAAGAAAGGAGGGGGCTGCGATAGAAACGTCAGAGAAATGCCCTTAGGGCTTCAGCTTAATTGGTAAGGACAGCCACCTACTTTTAGGCAGAAAATTAGAGGTAACGCAATGTCATACATTAAAACATATTAAGCACTTCACTAGCATGAACAGTGGGTTAGAAGTAAACACAATTACTACTCCTGAAGGTAAATAACAGTTGTGTATGATGCTAAGGGCTTTCTGCATAATTTTTAAAAATACTTATTATTAAAAGTCTTGTTGGTCAGGGTTGTCTCCATTTCACAGAAAAACAGAGTATGTAGTGCCGGGGCCTCCTGCTCTGTGCGGCTCCTTTCCTATTCCAGGTGCCACACTTCTGATCGCTTCAAAGGAACAGCAGTTTTGTCCTGTGGATTTTGTGCTGATAGTGTCCATTTCTGCTTCTATGACATGAATATTGCGCTAGTGGAATTTGACCTATTTTCTTTTCTTGAATTTACCTAATTGCTTAGAAAAACAAAACTAGTGCTGATTTTCTAGTTTGCAGAATACTTTGACAGAGGCACTTATCTGTCATGAGCCTTTCCTTGTTTACAACCTCAAGCAAGCCCAGAGGCTGTACTCCCTCCTCCAGGAAATATCCAACCACCAAGGAACAAGTTTTGAGAGGACCCATGATTCCGATATAAATCTGGTCCTGGAAGACAGAAGCTCAGAAGTAATATTCAGTTGCTTCTTACTGGGAAATCTATAGAAATTAGAATGTGGCTATTCTGTAACTGTCATACATTACTGAATAAGATCTTGTTTTTGAATTTG